ATAAAATTATAGCAGTTAATGGAACAAGAAGTCCATGTTAAGTAATTTGAAAGCAAAGCACATACCAAAGTACAAATCTAAAGTGTACATGTGAGTTGGTGTTGCCCTTATTTGCTATTACAAAGTTATTTGCTTTTCTTTTTTAATTAGATACCTAATCAGACCTGACCCACTGGCCTACCTTCCAAACACTGAACCTAGTCGGAAAAACAGCATCTGCAATGCCCCTGGCCAAGACTCGCGGGAAGAAACCCAACTTTGATAACAAAATATGAGAAACTTTTTTTTTTTTATTTCTATGAGGATCTTGCTTGAAAACACTGAAGTGTTGCTGCCACTGAAAGAAAGTAGATTAGAGTATATTTAATTCTCTCATATTTAAAAAGAAAATCTGTTAGATGTATAGAGAATTTTAAAATTTAATGAACCATTTATTGGTACTTCCCTTGTTGATATTGAAAAGATGTCATGAAATGATTATGAAAAACTAAATTAAAAAACAAAATGAAATCTGATTTTTGATGTTTGAGTATGGCCTGAACTGTACACAACCCAAATTAATATGGTTTTATGAAAGTGAAAATTCTAATGGTATTTGGTACATCATAATAGGCATAGAAGACTGTTGCTCCTACTAACATTTAAATTGTCACATATATTCTTTAAACTTGTTGTTTTATAAAATGGAGCTCATCATAAATGCCTGGTCTTCCCTATGTAGGGATTAACCAACAAACTCATATGGCTGAATTTTGTGTAAAAATTATAGTTTGCTTTAGTGTACAAGACTTTATTTTAACTTTTTTTCTGTCTGCCTTTTCATTTGATATTGTATTCATTTTAGAATTACAGATGTTCATAGCATGTTTACTAAACAAAAAGATATATTCAGTACCTGAACTTTTTGGTAACTTAATACTTAGCACACATTTTAGTATACAAAAAGTCAAATATCTAGTCTTCTCCTTAAAAAATGCCTAGCATGGAGAAAATACTTTAAGAATATTTGTTGATTTAAATAGAAAAATTGAATCTTTAACTGGATTTCTGAAAAATGCTATAGTAATTTTCATTTTGCTCTTGAGTTTCAGCATTTTTCATGTATCTCTATAGAAAATTAATTAGAAAAAACAATTTAACATTGAAAGAAGATATTTATACTTTTTATGGACTACAAAGACACTTTAAAAGCTTAAATATCTTGCATATGTCTTTGCTATAGATGCAATCACTTTCAAAAACAATCTATCAAAAATTTTGATTTAATAGTGAAAAATCTCATATTATCCTATAGATTCTATAAGACCTATATTCTAACGTTGTGAGGAAAAATACAAAAATAGGTAATCCTGGTCCTTTAAATCTAACATGAATCATTCCAAATTTGACAATTATAAATTTAAATACAAACTGGGTCTTGGAGACATTAATATTTTATCTGAACTATTTATTTTACTTTCCCTCTATAAGCACACTAAGAAGCACATGAGAATGTACACAGGATTTCCAGAGACTAAAAGTGTCATTGAGTGTTCCCGTGAAATAATATTGGTAAATTTATGAGATCTTTTTCTTCTAACTTTGTATTTTATTTTAATTCCCAAATTTAGCATTTAGTTTCACTTCAGCGAAAATGAGACATATTAGAAAAAGACATTCCTGTCCATTCTTTTCATAATGAAGCAGAATTTTTGAATAGAAATACAATTTTTAAAATAAGGAAAATTTAATATTCTCTCAATTATTATTCAGAAAAGATTATAAAGTATAGAATATGAAGTTAAATATAACCTTTGAATATTTTGCTTCCACAAATAGGAAATGTCACTATTTTCCATTGCCCATATTTAGGAATAACAAGAACACCAGGGATTTCATCTAAAATAGATTAAGCCTCCATTTGGTTTTATTAGTCTTAATTGAACCATCAGAGAAATGAAAATGATAAAAAGTTATTTAAAATTGGGAGCATGCCTTAAACTTAAAGGTTGTATGCATATGTGTATATCTTTGAAATGAGAAATGCATTTGGCAAGTATTCCTATTACATATTGGCAAAACTGAAGGTGGAATAGAATGTATTTAATACAGAAAAATTGAATTTGCTGAACTTGTTTCATTTTTGCACACCAATAGTAAAGTATGATGCTTGGAGTTGGCTTTCTCTTTTTTACATTATTATAGTCATTTTTAGGAATTAATGTAAAATTTTACAAATCTGTTTCCCCTTAAGATCTAAAATTTAGTATTTTTGCATTATGACAGGCAAGATTAGGATTTTAAGCTAGAATATGATTATATTTCCTATAGAACTAAATTTTTTCTTTCATAAATTTTAAAATAATTATTTTTGATTATGAGCATATTAGTCCAAATTTAATATCTGATGGAATTCATATCAGCTTGCTCTAATAATGATAGCTTATTAGTCTTTCTGGTCTTTAATAAATAAAACATGCTTATAAAAGACTTTAAAAAATGGTTGCCTTTTTAAAATAATTATACTTGCACATAAAATATAGTTCATAATTGTTCTTGTAGCCCTACAGGAATTGGTTCTGTCTATTGCTATGTAACATTTTGCTACCAGTTACATTGAATCGCCTTGGAAAAAATAATAAAATTATTTCTGATGATGAAAACTCTTCGTGTCTGTTGCTAGAACTTTGCTAGAGAGACTTTGTTTTGAAATTGTAAAATTCTTTTGTTACTTTTATACTTTAAAACCAAAGTAAATATGAAAGTGATTGGAAAAGAAAGCCATAAATAAACTGCTGTTGAATTAGTTCCTACTAAAATAGACTCTGAATAGTTATTTTATCATGACAAGAATAGAGAAGTATGAGTAGAAGACAGAGGAAATGAGTGATGAGAAGTGTTAAAGAAAGTGAAGTGGAGTGAAACCCTAACGTAGATGCTAAAAGGGAAATGTATTATACACAGCAGGGAGTATGTCTCAGTATGTTACTTTAAGGTTGAAGAACGCACTGGTTTACGGCGAAGGAAAGTTTAAAATACATTAGAAATGATACACATTTTTAAATAAACCAAGATGAAAGGTATTCAACAGTGGTTATTTATTGTACATTGTTGTCTTCAATGCAGTTCTCAGACTATAGCTATTAGCACATAAAATTGGTCAATTAACTGCTACCTTCAAAAGAGTGATAGAAATTAGTAGTACAATCATCTTAGCTATCTCGTGTATATACCTTCATATTTTATCCCCTTCCTTTTTCTTTTCCTATCTTTTGTCCTTTCCCTAATTTTATTCCTTATGTTGTTTCTTTCCATTTTACTATATCTATTGTACTTTTCAGATTTTATTTATTCCTTTAGGCTCTTTTACTAGGGAGACAATGAGATGTTTACACGTGTAGGTCTGATTTATTTCACTTATGAGTATAGCCTCTGGTTGCATCCATTTAACATAAAAGCCTTAAGTTAATCTTCCTGATAGCTGGATGATACTCCATAATATAAGAAATACCATATCTTTTTTGCCCAATCTTCAGTGATAGGCATTTGGGTGGTTTCCATCACTTAGCTATGACAAATTGTGCTGCTATAAACATGGGTAACATATATCACAATGGGGTGATATTTTCAGTTCTTTTGGAAAAATACCAGAAAGGGGATATCTGGGTTGAACAGGATTTCTTTTCTTTTTTTTCAACAAATAATACACTGCATATATTCTTCTTAGTGGTTAATTGCTGTACAAGATGCGGACTTGAGATCCTATTTACAAACACCATTAGAACAAATCATTCTATTCATTAAGAGAATGCAACTATATATCTATCCTAACCACTTTGAATACACAGGTACAAAATGGACATTCATCTGTATACCCCATTTTTTCTAAGTTTCGTTATTGAATATTATAGGTGTGTAAAATCAGCAAAATATTCTAAAAAGTCCAGTAGACCATAATAGCATTGGGTCTTCTGTTTAACTGGCAATGTCAGAAATTATTGACCTGAGTCCCCCACAGCTCAACATAACAGCATGGCTTTACTTCCTATATTTCGTCTTCATACTTTTCTACTGGATGGTTAAGACCAAGGTAAAGCAGGACCTATGCAACAAGAGTTGTAGCTTTTTGGTCTGAGAAGGTCAGTGAAATCCCCTCAGGATTTATCCTGAGATCCTTGAACAGGACTTCTAATCCTAGTTTTTTGAGGAGTCACCACACTGATTTCCATAATGTTTGTACCAGTCTACACTCCCACCCACAGTGGAGAAGGATTCCTTTTTCCCCACAGTCTCTCCAGCATTTGTTATTAATTTATTTCTTTGCAATAGCCATTCTTTCTGGGGTGAGATGGAATCTCAATGTTGCTTTAATTTGCATTTCTTGAATGACCAATGTTGCTTTGTTTTTGTCTTTGTTCTTATTTGGTTTTGTTTTTCCCCTTTGAAATAAAATTTTAAAAAGTACAAAAGTTGTCCTTGCTTCTAAATAAATGGGAAGACACATTTCTCCCTAACTCTACTCTTAAGGGACATTAACTTGAGACATTACATACTTCTCTAATGAAGTTATGCGCTATAGCACAATGGCAGCTGCTATGCATCTCAGCTGCTGCACCTCAGGGATACAGAAGGGGATCTTTGTGTTCATCGGCTTGGCCTGATGAACAGCAAGGCCTGTGCTCCTGTGCAAAAGTATCAAATCAAGGTTTGTACCCACATAATGCTCCATTGCTGTGTGTACGTCCCTGAACATCATGGGAGGTAAAATGCTCACAAACTGTTTGCACACATCTATTTTGTCCTAATGGAACCCGGGCATGGCTCACAGTAGCTGTGGCCGAGAAAACAGAAAGCCACCTATGCGTTCACCCAGTTGGCAGATGATTGGCAAGGTGTGTACAGGAGCTCCAAAGCAGCACCAGGAGAGTTTTACCCTTGAAATGATCATTGTTGGATTTCTTGCATTTAGAATTCATTTTTCTAAAAAATTTTTCATTTGATTTTCTTGCTAAAGTAGTCCAATACAGTAAAATTGCACATGAAAAACCTGGTCCCTATATCCTGAGGCATTCAAAAAGCCTTTATACTGCATACATACATATAAAAATATATGCCCTGCTAAGTGAAAAAGCATATACTTCCAATTTAGAAGTTTTGCCTGCTCTCCCAGCAAAAGACTGGCTCCTACATCATGTTCAGATTTTCGAGAACCAAATTTCTGGTGCTGGGAAGCAAATTTTTGAGCTGGGAATAACTGCTCAATGTACCTGACGTTTCTCTGAGCATGTATTGCATGACTTTATAGTACAATCTCTCTGAGAGACACTTTCTCTACTCAGGACTGTTCTCCGATCTGTATCACTTGGAGGAGGTTAGACATATTCAGACCAGCTTTAAATATTAGATTAATCTAAATTTATGACAGATGGCAAAATATTTGTTGCCTTCACCAATAATTTATTTTTTTAATTGTTTTTTATTTTAGAGAAGGGTCTACAGGGTGTCCAGGGTCTCACTACTAGATCGTACTCATAGTGAGTCTCCTGTTTACAGCCTCTCAAGTTCTGAGATTACAGACGTGCACCACCACACCCAGTCTCAATTGCCTTCTCAGTGTGCCCCAGGGGCCAGGCCAGCACAGCAGGCCCAGGGATCAAACCTCCAGCCCTGATTGCATATGCTTTGATCTGCTGAGCTATTTAGCTGGCTCTACAATTTAAACTTGCGCAGAAAACAATAACTACTTGAAAAAAGTACAGTTATTTCATATGTGTTGAACCAACTGAGCTATAAATGACTTGATTTTGAAAAAACTATTTTATGATCACATTTTAATGAAAACTAATTAGTTTTTAATGTTTCTTAGGAAAGGCTATAAAATGACTGACATTTACACTGGAAAACATTGCTGCAATAATTAAGTAGCTGTGCTTGATTTATTGTTACTAACTAAAGGAGAACATTCTTCATTCTGAAGCATTCAACATACTCTAAATTGTTGGGAGCAATTCTTATTTTTCTCTTTGAACAAATTAAGATTTATCTTTGTATTAGACATCA